AGAATCAGCAGGCGTGAAGTCTTCGTGCCCGCAGTTCGCGGGACAAGCTCTCGGGGCCCGAGTTGCATCTCGGGCAGACCTCAGGGCAGTCATAGCCAGCCTCACGTTGACGAGCTCGCGGCCATTGGCCTCCAGCAAGTACAATGATATTGGCTGACCACAGATCCATATCTCCTTTCTTAGCCAGGTAATCCAACTCACGAGACACCATCGTCATGTCAGCTCCTGCGCACAAGTCATCGCCCGCCTGGTGTCTCGCGGCAGGCTGCCACAGCTTCGCCGTACAATCGCCAAGGAGATCATCATACTTGGCCATCACTGCCACGTCGAGCCCAGGGTCGCCGAACGCAGGGAGAGACCACTCCTCTGGGCCTTGCACACCATGGCGAACCCAGAGGTTGGGTTCACGAGGCACCCAGCCCGCCTGGATCATGGTCGCTTGCACCGCTGTAATAGGGCCCCGCACATCGGACCACTTCACTGGATGACTAGTAAACCGAGGAAGACTAGCACCGACTCGACTCCATTCCCGACGCGCACGAGGTTGAAGCCCAGGTTGTCGTAGCCAGAACAAAATCCACTCCCTCAGTACCTGAACACGTAGGTCGAATCCAGGATCAGCCACGCCCATCGTGGCTTGCAAAACCGAGGTCAAGTACCCCCCCCGCTTGGAGCCAGCGAGTGCCGCCGCAGCACCTCTGCGTAGCTCCAGCACCTGCAAGGGAGGGGCACCGAGGATCTGGTGCCCGAAGTTGGCCGAGGGGTAGGCACCAGTAGTCCAAATCTTTTTCATCATGAAACGACTGCCAGGCAGCGTCCTGATGCACAGAATCCTGCCGTGTCGACGCCTAGCTCGAGCACGACGCTTGGACATCTTGGTGCGGACACTCCTTCTGCATCCAGCTGCACCTGTGCCAAAGTCGACGGTCGACGAGACGCACTCAACAGGGGTGCCAACCTCCGTCACCTTCGTCTCCAGCTCTCGGCCGATGGAATTCGTGGATGCAGTAAGCTTCGTCTTATCCGATCTCCAGCCTGGCAGCCCTAAAGTCAGACGCCATCGCCGAACCCAGGAGAAGCATATATTCCACGACCTTCTGTTGATTTCCTTCCGTACGACCGCAGGTATCGTCAATGTAGGTCCAAAGCCCAGCAGGAGGAACAGCGCGGTGAGCGTGGTCGAGGATGCGATGCAACGTGACTTTGGCCAACGCTACTCCATGGGTGGGAGCCCGCGACAATCGACCTGGCGACGACCAAGCCACGAGACGCCATACTGCCACGCTTCGGCATGCGTGGGGCCACGCACGGCTCCACTTTCCGGCAGCGCAGGGACAGCTGGAACGCCGCAGTCCAACGCAGCCTGCATGAGAAGAACGAAGCTCGCCGACTCGTAGAATCGCTTCAGATCAATCAGGCGATCGCAAACACGGATTAAGGGGGCGTGGATTAGCGACGGGTCCCGCTTCCATGGGAAATCACATATTGCCGCCGCCGAGCGAAGCAGCGCCGGCCGCATTTTCGGGAGGGCACCTCCCCGGATCCGCGCCAAATCCATGGACTGCTAGTCCATGTTTGCGCGCCCCCGACTCTGCAGATCAAGAAACCGAGTGGCGATGTCGAACCCCGCAGTCAAGGATTATTATTATTATTATTATTATTATTATTCGTCTTCTTCTTCTTCTTATTCTTCTTATTATTCTTCTTATTCTTCTTTTTCTCTTCGTCGAGAACTGCTCGCGCCAGAGCCGCTTCGAGGGCCGATGCGCGCCCCCGACGGCCCGTGCCCCAGAGCGCATCCGACTTCTGCGGCCACTCGCTCGAGTCCTTTTGGCCCTCAGCTCGCTCCAGATCTTCTCAGAGGAGGAAAAGGTACCCATACCTCTACCCTTCCCTCGTTTTCCCCTTTAGGGCCTCCTGGGAGGCCCCCGTCGCCACCGCTGGATTCGCCTCGAAATCCTGGTCAGAACGCACTTTGGGAGAGACCCGGGGAGTAGCGGTATCGGTACCTTTTGGCCTCCCCATCTTCGGCGTTGCTTTGCATCCGTATACTCCGTCATTACGACTGATTTGGCTGTATCCCGCATCGCGTATGTCTTTTTGCGTGTGGGCGAATCCGAGTCCGGTGTTGTTGCTGGACACCCCTCCGGTCCAGACGCCTCTTTCCCTTTCTGACAAAGATACCCTTGAGAGCCTCTGTCGGGGGGGAAAAAGAAGATCTTCGGCGTCGCGCCAAATTCCACTTGCCAGTGTATTTACTGAAATTCATAAGATTGACTAGCTCCGCCCTTCCTGCCGTCGCCTGTCTCGGGACGTCCTGAGGGCCCAGGTTGTCAACTCCTCGGGCCTTCTTGGGCGCCAGCTTGGGGAGCACCACATCCAAATCCGACAAATGAAGAGGGGGCAGAGGGTTGTCACGAGCAACTTGCCAGCTCCTATTCATCATATGCACGATATCCGTTGGCTAATCTACAGAGTCCGTCCATCTGGCCTGCCACTCGAGTCCGCGAGCATCGAGGTTGGAGGTGGGGAGGCCCTCTGGATCACGGCCTTCGTTCTCAACATGAGCCGCATCCTTCGCGCGACGATGAATCAACCCAATAGATTTAGACCATGATTCCTTGACCCATGCCATAAAAAGACGAGCGGGCCTTCATCATCGCTCGAGTTGCAGCTAGGTCAGCCCATGGACGTGTTTGGTCCAGAAGTTCGGGTAATTCAGTAACAGTGACCATAGCTAGATTAGACAGCATTCACATCCACGAGAACATCTGCTCATGCGTGACCTTCTTTACCAAACATAAGTTGGACAATCAGCTTCACAACTGCCCTCCATTCTCTTAGCCAACTCGTCATGGTAACAGTCAGCGTGAGAAGTATCCGAAGCGTTGGTGACCAGCGCGACGTACCTGACAAACATCGTGCTGACGATACCCCACCACTCCGCCTGAAGGCTGTGTAGATGAGTGCGCCCAGGGGTAGATCTCATCTTAGCCCACGAGACCAGTGGGCCATCAGCACGGCCAGAGTACTCAGGCCGTCGCTCCTCAGAGATGCCCTCGTGCAGGAGATTGGCTCTCTTTATAATGCCTTGATCCAGGCTCGGTAACAACGATCAACCTGCGCACGTTCTGCCGATCCCCACTGAAACACCAAGTGATCTCTTTTGGCAAACGGAGTGAGGCCACGCGGACGCCAGCACGAGGGATGACCCCATCGCCTCCAAGCCCACGCCAGGCGCAGACGTTCCGACCGCCTCGCCTGCAACCCCCAAACGGTGTTTCGTCCGCCCGCTGACGCTACGCTCTGCGGGGAGGAGAGGGGGCAGGAGGAGGAGGAGGAGGAGGAGGAGGAGGAGGAGGAGGAGGAGGAGGAGGGAGGCGAATTGCCAGGAGGGATCAGGACGACGAGGACAACCATGACACGAACGCGGAGGAGGAGGAGAAGGACAACGAGGACAATCGGGATGAAGAGGAGGAGAAGGAGGAGGAGGAGGAGGAGGAGGAGGAGGACGAGAAGCGGAGAGGAGGAGGAGGCGGATCATGAGGAGGAGGTGGAGGAGGGGGAGGAGGAGGAGGAGGAGGAGGCGGAGGAGGAGGAGGAGGAAGAGGAGTAACACACGTCGGGAGCGAGTGGGAACAGATGGGGCGTGGAGGGGGAGACGGACATCAAGAACCTACGGGAACACATGGGGAATCCTGTGGCTTGTGCCTATCTTATTTTTGTCCTCCGTATAGAAATCCGCGAGCTCTGCCCGCCGTGCTCGTGCCCCCGGTTGGCGATCGGGCTGAGCCCTGCCGCTTCCCGCCCGCGCTTTTCGCGCCGTCCGTGTCTTTTTATGTGTCAGTATCGTTTGACCGCCCCCCATCCCCATCCTCATCCCCTTCGAGAGCCCCACCAAATCACCACCCCAGTTGGGGATACACCCCTCCGAACCCGAAGGGAACGGCCTATATCTCCACCTAGGGGGGTAAATCGGCCAGTGGGGCCCAGGCCACGCCGCTGGGGATGGGGGTCGGATAATCGATGCTCAATGTGTGCTTTTCGCGCGGAGCACGGGCCAGGTGTTCATATATCGGTGGCGCGCAAAAGAGGATCGAGGACCGCCGTTCCTTTCCCCCTCCCCCTGCCTCCCCCCCCCCTCCTCCCGCTCCCCCCCTCGCCCTTTTTGCCCATTCTGAGTGCCAGTTTCCTTTTTCCTCGCACTCCGTCCGGAAGATAGCCCGTTCTCTCCGCGTATTTGTTATGCAGGGTCGTCGAGTTTTCTGTTTTACGTGCTCTGCACTCTGATTGTGCTCACAGCTGTGCTGCGCTCCCGCTGCAGCGCGGGCCTCGTTTTCTGACCGTCGCCCCGGCGCGGGCCACTTCTCTTGATCCGAGCCCTTGTTCGTCGTTGTCGCCCCTGTCATTTGCCCTCCTCCGCCTCCCCTGGCCCTCCTGCCCCTCTTGCTCCTTCCATCCCAGTTCCTGCGGCTGTCGCTGTTCGTCCTCGCCCTCCTCGTTCCACCTCCTCCTCCCGATCCTCCTCCATGTCCTCCTGCTCGTCCTCCGGCTCACCCGCCCCCCCCCCCGAAGTGCGCAGCTCCCCCCCTTCTCCGATCGCGCATCGCACGATGCTTCTTCTTTGCGTCCCGGGTCGACTATGCCACGCGTCTGCGGATACAGGAGCACTCGGCGCAATGGGGAGGGACGGGAAGGAGGCACAGGATGTCGGGTGCGGCGCGAGCGCGCCCAGCTTGCGAGGCTGCCGGAGCGGGTTCGCGGGGCTGGGCTCTCTTGCGAGGGCCTCTCGCGGCCGCGCCCGCCCTGCACACTGGTGGGGCTCGGTGGTGCTGCGCGTTCCCGACGGGGCCTCGCCGTCGGCGCCACCTCGCCCTCGGCGGGGGCTGTTTCTCAAGGCATCCGTTGGGGGTCGCAGTGCTGAGCTGGCGTGTGCAGCACGAGCATGGCAACGACTTCGGGGAGCGGCCAAAACGCTGCACCCCGCCCTCGTCCACGCCATGTACGAGCGAATCTACAGCGGGCCCATCTCGAGAACCCGCGCAAAAACACAGCCAACGAGCCTCTGCGCGCATGACGCGGTGACACCATGAAGCCAGCACAGCAATGAAGCAGTACTGTGGGCCAAAGGACCAACGAGAACAAAAGAGACACGCGCAAGCCTATCGCCACCGATTGCGACCAGTGCATAGAGCTGCGCAGCACGACATTGCAACCGTGGACAAGGAAGGCGCCACCCCAACACTGGAAATGAATGCGGGCCTAGGCTGGAAGGTACCTCGCGGAGATGAGAGGATGCGAAGGATGCGGAGGTACAACATCTCCACAAACGCATACGTGACAGACCAGAGGACATCCCGCAACCTGTAGAGATGGAACAAAGGTGAAATGTCGCACCAGCCGCCAGCGCCGCAAATCCCACGGGGGCAATCCCATAGGCAACGTGGCAATAGCCACTGAGGAAGAACATAACGATCTGCATCTGAAGCCGCCAACGAAGACGAGGATGGACAAGCATGTCCCACGTAGCATACCCTTGCGTTCACGATGCGGAATAGCTGGACTAAGAAGATCAAACAACAGCACTCCAGTCAGCACTCGTATGGTAAAACTCTGGGGCATCGCGTCGCAGGCAGTTAGCTCACGCGAACCAATGCTGGCCCGAGCAGGCATATGAAACTTGAGCTGGGCGGAAACCAGCGGAAGTAAAGCGGGGCCGGGTCCGCCGGCGGACGGCGGCGGGAGTAGAAGCGAGACGTCAAGTTTTTTCGGGTTTCCGGTTTCCGGAGCCGGATTTCTAATTTGTTTGCAGGTGCACTTTGCGCGGTCTCGCGCCAATTATCTGTCGCTGTGCCCCAGCCTCGGTCGCACCGCCCTCTGGACTTCTCCTTGCGGGCCGCGAATCAAAAATTAGCCTGGCGAAGGACCCAACCATATGCAGCTGCGAGTACCGCACGGATATGAGACGAAGGAGGGGGCACGCAAACTAGGCCCCTCTTCTCATAGGCACCGCGCCACTGGGGCCTTCGGTGGAGCTCCCTATGGGGCCACGAAACGTGTGAAGGGTGTGCCGAAATGGGTGGTGGGGAGGCATGCGAACCCTGCCACTGGGGCCTTCGGTGGAGCTCCCTATGGGGCCACGAAACGTGTGAGGGGTGTGCCGAAATGGGTGGTGGGGAGGCATGCGAACGCAGCCACTGGGGCCTTCGGTGGAGCTCCCTATGGGGCCACGAAACGTGTGAGGGGTGTGCCGAAATGGGTGGTGGGGAGCCACTGGGGCCTTCGGTGGAGCTCCCTATGGGGCCACGAAACGTATGAGGGGTGTGCCGAAATGGGTGGTGGGGACGCATGCGAACGCAACCACTGGGGCCCCTCCGGTGGAGCTCCCTATGGGGCCACGAAACGTGTGAGGGGTGGGCCGAAATGGGCGAGGGGCGGCATGCCAACTCTGCCACTGGGGCCTTCGGTGGAGCTCATTATGGGCCGCGAAACGTGTCAAGGGTGTGTCGACATGGGTGGCGCGGACGCATGCGAACCCTGCCACTGGGGCCGTCGGTGGAACTCTCAATGGGGCCACGAAGCGTGTGAGGGGTGTGCAAAAGTGGGTGGGGGCGGCATGCGAACCCTGCCACGGAGGCCTTCGGTTGAGCACCCTATGGGGCCACGAAATGTGTGAGGGGTGTGCCAAAGTGGGGTGGGGGCGGCATGCGAACCCTGCCACTGGGGCCGTCGGTGGAGCTCCCTATGGGGCCACGAAACGTGTGAGGGGTGTGCCAAAGTGAGATGGGGGCGGCATGCGAACCCTGCCACTGGGGCCTTCGGTGGAGCTCCCTATGAGGCCACGAAACGTGTGAGGGGTGTGCCAAAGTGGGGCGGGGGCGGCATGCGAACCCTGCCACTGGGGCCTTCGGTGGAGCTACCTATGGGGCCACGAACGCGTGAGGGGTGTGCCAAAGTGAGGTGGGGGCGGCATGCGAACCCTGCCACTGGGGCCTTCGGTGGAGCTACCTATGGGGCCACGGTGCGTGGGGTGTGCCAAAGTGGGGTGGGGGCGGCATGCGAACCCTGCCACTGGGGCCGTCGGTGGAGCTCCCTGTGGGGCCACGAAACGTGTGAGGGGTGTGCCAAAGTGAGGTGGGGGCGGCATGCGAACCCTGCCACTGGGGCCTTCGGTGGAGCTACCTATGGGGCCACGAAACGTGTGAGGGGTGTGCCAAAGTGGGGTGGGGGCGGCATGCGAACCCTGCCACTGGGGCCTTCGGTGGAGCTACCTATGGGGCCACGAAACGTGTGAGGGGTGTGCCAAAGTGGGGTGGGGGCGGCATGCGAACCCTGCCACTGGGGCCTTCGGTGGAGCTCCCTATGGGGCCACGAAACGTGTGAGGGGTGTGCGGAAATGGGAACTAATGGCGATGGCGATGATGATGATGATGATGATGATGATGACGATGATGATGCGATGGTGATGACGATGATGATGCGATGATGATGATGATGATGATGACAGATGATGATGATGATGATGATGATGATGATGATGATGATGATGATGATGATGATGATGATGATGATGATGATGATGATGATGATGATGATGATGATGATGAAGATGAGGATGATGATGATGATGATGATGATGATGATGATGATGATGATGATGATGATGATGACGATGAGTATGATGACGCCGATGGGAGGAGGGAGGAGGGGGGAGAGGAGGAGGAGGAGAGGAGAAGAGAGGAGAGGAGACGCGGGGCGCTGTCTCTTCAAAACGAGGACCCAACACCACAGGATGGTTGGGAAAAAGTTTCGGAGCCGACCGAATTGTTGCCAGGGCATCCCGAGCTTCCATCGATAGATACGAGCGTCACGCTAGAGACTCCAGTCGAGCCGCCTGTGACCGACGATACCTTGCTGCAGGCATCGCCCTCCGGGTGTGCATGGCGTCCATCTGTGCAGTCTCGGTGCTTGTTCACTGGAGTTCTCTGGCCTGCTTCTGTCTAGCAGTTCAGCGCAGACGTGCAGTGTAAGTTGGCGCGTGCAGCGGTGCAGCATATACGAGTGTGTGTGTGTGTGTGGATCTGTATGAGTTGGCACTCAATGTTCAACGAAAGACACAGATCAATCGCGTGACGTCAAGATCAATCTGAATCTCTTGGTCGATGAGGGGGTCTGACGGCGCGCGCACCTGCTTCGTCCGCAATGTGGGCACGTGGTAGGTTTTAAATGGTTCGCTTGCGCGGGTTCGTTGACGCAGCATTGGCAAGCAGCTTTTTAGTATTGCTTTGGCAATCTTGTTTCTCGTGGAAGGCTGTGGAACTGCCGCTGTCCAGTTCGGTCCGATTTGAGTGCAGCAGCGTTCTTCATGGTCGGGCTCGAGCTGAGATACTTGCGACGGGGAGGCTGCGAGGCACCGCCGCTACTCGGCTAGAGGCCAGGGCCGACACTTCGAGGAGGTATTGCGCAACACTGAATGACATACTTTGTTACGAGGGTCGGTACCCTGGGGGCAGGTGCATGTCGGAATTGGCGCCCCCCACGCGCAGTGGATAAACCACCTGCCCCTCGACTCCCCTTCCCCACCACCATCAGTCCATCCCCGATCGGCCCTGTGAGCACTCCCTCCCAGTGACCCCGATCGTCTTCACAGCCCGCTGCGAGCGCGCGCGGCCTGGCGCCGCCCACTTGCCTGTTTATTGGTCTACCTGCGCGCTGAGGCACAATCTGTTCCTCTGCACGGGTGCGATCTGCGCGTTTTGCGCCCAGTCCACCTTCGCTTCAAGGGCCATACGTATGCCCTGGGCCCAAGCTTCCTTGCGAGGTTCGGGTCGCATTCGGCATGGGTTGCGGCGGATGTCTCCGCACGCACAAAAGGTTGCGCAGCTCCTTCGCCCGTTGCCTGACTTGGCCACGCGCAGTCTTCTTCATTTCGCATGGCCCGAATTTTGGTTTCGGCAATGTGTTTCACCAGCCAGTGACGTTGCAACGTAGGGCGGCATATTTTTCGTCGGCGCGCAATTCTTAGGATGCGCGCGTGCTTGCCCGCCGGGGGGGTGGGTAAGTACGCGATGCCTGATGTGCTTCATCCCTTGCGGTGTCTCACGCCCGGTTTTTGCCAGCCACTTGCGGCGTGCAGCTCTTCAGTGGCAACGTGCACCGCTGGCTCATAAAATGCATCAGAAAGTTCTAGTGTTGAACAGAATCATGGGTGGTCGTCTGCAACGTAAATGTGCTCTTCTGCTGCTCTTCGCGTGAGGCTGGCCCGCGTCGCGGGGAACGGCGCGCTCGCCTCTGCACTGTTTTTTGGGGTTGGCTGGTTCGTGCCAGGGCTCCGGGGGGTGACGGCGCGGCGTGGGTACTGCGCGCGCGGCGCTTCCGACAGGTTCTCATGCCCTGTCACGGCACACCCTCATGGAACGAGCGCGTTGCCAAGCGAACGCGCCAACCACGCGAAACAGTTATCTGTAACCTAGAACTTAAACATCAGCGACGGTGTTGGATGCATCGCGCGCGCTTGTTGGCGAGCTGGTAACAAGCCCTTGCGCTGCTCAAAAAGCCTGCGCGCGTGTGTGCGGTGGGCTGTGGCAGCACGCGCATGCGGCCGATCGCCTAGTTTCAGCGGTCGTGGCGGGTTCTGCGTTTCGGCTGCCGCGCTGGTCGCGCAAGGCGTGGCCATGGTTGGCCCTGCACAAGGCCGCGGTAAGATCTGCCACTCTACCCCCGTCTCCTCCCTCCTCCCCACCCTCCTTGAAGGCAAGATGAACTTGGCTGCGGTGCACTCCCAGAGAAGGGAGGCTGCAGGTCCGACCCTTCTCAGGGGCACCCCCGCCCAGCCTCGCTCGTGTCGCGCCCGAGGCGCCCGGTCGCCGTGAGACCTGGCGGGCCGTGCGCGCGCGCGGCGTCTGTGGTGCTTTTGGCTTGTGGTGCCTGCTGTGCCTGTGGTGCCCTCCGCTCGCGGTGCCTCTGGTGCCCAACCTCCTGCAGGCACCGCTCAAGTTTAATCAGGCCTCCCAAGACACCCTTCGCACTCACAGAGATTCCAGATGCCTCGCGGGAGCCCAC